CTGTATGTCGCCGTGCCTCGCTGATGATTTAAGTGCACTTTGATGCACATTTTTCGTTGCTACTTGCAACAGAAGCAGAAGCAGCGGCAGCGGTAGCATCATCGGAGGCAGCAGCAGCATCAGCAGCTGCCCCAGATAATTTAATTAAATTATACGCTTCCTTACGTGCGTTGGGCGAGCCGGATGGGTAGGATGGGTGGCTTAATGGTTTGGTGTACGGGTGCAGAACAGGGCGCCGGCCCGCCTTGCTTTGCCTTGCCTAGAGAGTAATGGGTTAAGGGGGCAGGCAGCTCGCATTTTAATAAGGTTTGTTGGTTAGCTAGTTTTGAGGTTGAGCTGAGTGTAGTTTTGGCTTAGTTTTATGTGCTACCCCGCAGCCAGTACCCGCACCCGCACTCGTATCCTTTGTGCCACAAGCCTTTGGGTTGGAAAAGCGAAAGCAATGCAAAAGAGTGCCACTGGCATGGGGTCCTAGGTAAATGAACTTAAAGCAATATTTTATCAATCCGTTGGTTGTGATTATGAGTGCAAAAATCCACACAAAAAACTCTGTAGAGAAATTTAATTTTTTAAACTTCTTTGAGGCTGCATAAATCAACGTCCTTTTGCCTGTCATAAATATCAAGTTTTCAGCATAATAGGAATATATTGCATTTGTTAAAATGGAGAGCCACTCCATGGAGAACCGGCACAAAAAAGAGCTGAAAGTTATTCGTCAACGTCAAAACGTTGCCCGTTTGCTGTGGCTGCCACGTATGGGACAGTTCACAGGCTGCAGCCAACATCAAACACATCCGCACACAGCCACAGCCACAGACACAGCAGCAAAACTACATAATACTTAACCAAAAAAAAACATAAAGTAAAACAAACACACATTTAGTGTTCATAAAGTCATAATGTTTTCATGTTTCAAGACTGCAGCCACAACATCCTCTTCTGCTGTTTGCCGATGGTCTTAAAGTGCCATACAAAAACCTGGCCAACCTGGCCAAAAGGTAAGCAAACTCTCGCCAAAAAAAAGGAAGAAAAAAATGCCAACAAAACAAACTTCAACTTCAGCACACACAGAATGTCTTCATTTTCACCTGTTTTCCCTGTGTGTGTGTTTTCCTCACGCCTAACACAGTTACAAATGTGCAAGAACAGCAACAAAAGCAAAAGCAAAAGCAAAAGGAAAACCTCAGACCCAAACATATTTGCATAAACAGAAGCCTCAGTTTGATGGCACTGAAAGTTTAGTGGCCAAATGAATGTGTGTTGCCTCACTTTCAAATGAAGTTTGACAGATTTACATACAACGACACAATTTCTGACTCGGTTTATCATGTTACATTTTCCACTAATTTCCCTAGAAATCTTTCTACAAGGAGAGCATTTCCACTTCGGCTTTATGCTGTTTATTTTCTTTTGAAGTTTTCTCCACATTTCTTGTTGTTGCGCTGCTGCTGCTGCTGCTGCTGTTTCTGCTTGTGCCATCAGCAGGTTAGTGTTTAACCTCTGCAGAGTGCTGCAGCCCACTCAAAAAGTCTTTGACTTGCCATTCTTCAACCCTGCCCCGAGCCCGTGTGCGCACTTCTGGCCAGGCCAAGAGCTGGTAGAGCTGGGAGTAAAGAGCCAACCAACCAGTAAACCAAGGCAGCCACCAGTCAGCCGGAGTTAACCAGGCGCCACCGTCATTCTCATCCGCATCATCTGGATGGTGCTCGCTCGTTGCTGGCTTTTAACCACTCGGCTTGCTCTCTTTAACGCGTTAACGGGTTAAGTTGCCTTTTGTGACCATGTCGTTGCTGCTGTTGTTTTTTAGAGCCTAAAAAAACAAAGATGCCGTCAAAAGAGGAGTAGGCTGGCGTGTAGCTGTCGCGGGTCACATGTAATTAGTCCCCCCGCATTTGTCATAATCTGAGAGCAAAATGATTCGGTGGCCACATTTTACAGTCAATTTTGGAGGTGGCCAAAGGCAAAAGCCACACCAAACCTCTAATCGACGGCAATTATGAAGTGGCGTGAAGAAGTAGTAAAATTTGCGACTCCGGCAACTTCATTTTCCGGCTCTGTACCAACAACTGCGGCTACTTCAATTCTTCAAAACCGCTCGTGCTTTTTACCCCGCCTTCATTTCACTCTCAGCCTTGCCCCCAGGATGAGGCAGTGCGACTGCGGTGAGTGACAGTAGCTGTCGGCCTCCCGATGCAGGCGTGCTCTGTCTGGCATAAGCCCCCTCTCCCCCCACCATGGCCTCGACTTTGCTCTGCGATCCTGCTGCTGCCGCACAGCCTGCGGTGCTCTCCGCGTTTCTCCACTTTTTTTTAATTTTTTCTTTTTTTTCGTGTGGCTGGACTTTAATTTTTGGTGGGTTAGTAGATTGGAAACTCCCTCGGTTTGTACTGGCTTGCAAAATGCAATTTCAACCCTTTTTCCTGTTTTTCCTGTTTTCCTGTTTTCCTGTTGAATGTTCTGTCCATAAGCACATAATGAGTTCAGGATGGAGTTTGTAGGGCTTTTATGTGAAGAGGTGCGCAAATTGGTAGATATTTTACCAGGCAAAAGGGAGGCAGGAAGTGCAAAACTTTAATGTTCATCGGAGACAGCTTTAATGCGCAGTCACTGCTGATGGATGGATGATGTTTCCAGCGGTTTAAGCACTCACAATCAATCCGTTTCGTACATATATGTAATTTTCTGGGCAGATTCCACTCCGAATCCCAATTCGATCTACTGTAACTATACTAAAAGCCAACAATCTCTTTGAAACTTAAGTATGTAAGGCATTTCATAGACCATTTTCACTCCATTCTTAGCTGTAAAGACACATCAAGTCGCAATGTTTATTTGTGGAGACCACAGGAGCAGCAGCGCAGCATCTTTAAGGCCTCGCTAAGGGCTAAGTTTTCTCCATTTTGTGGTTTTCATTTCCGAGAATTTTTTCCACGCCCTTCTCCCGCACAACTTTGTCATAATTTTGCAGCAAGGCACGTCGTCTGTGCTGTGCGATGGCAGCGGGACCAGTAACGAGCCTCGGGCTGCCACGGGTCCTGGCTAGGCTGTCAGCGTGATAACTCCTTTTCGTGTTAAACATTTTCAACTTGGCTTGAGAGTGTGAGTGCGCGAGTGTGAGGGTGAGGAGTTGTATGGGTTATGCAGCAGCTGTCGACCGTGTGGACACACACCAACAAGCCGGCACTCGCACTCGCACTCGCACTCGCACTTGCAGTGGCAGTTGCCTCACAGCGGGGAGGACGACGCGTCGCTGTCGACGGTCACACTCTCAGGCGTCCGTTGCATGCCTCATCCTGGGCCACGACTCTTTTGGAGTCAACTGCATGTCAGTTTTGTTCGCTCCTCCAGCTTTCGCCTGCTTTTGATTACAATGCTGGTTATGTTCTCCGTTCTCTCTGCAGCTGTGTGCTGGAGTGTCCCATGTGTGTGCGTTTGTCTGTTTGTATGTTTTGATAGCATCCTCGTGCTCGTTCTCATCCTCATCCTCATCCTGTTGCCTGGCATCGTTTGCCTCTGATAACACGTTAAGTGCGGTTGTTTATCCTGCAAGATAATTTGGACAAGTGTCACCTCTCGGATTTTCACGCGCCGGCAAAAAATAAAAAGAGTCCGTCGTCAACGCCCTAGCAAAAATGTCCCAACTTTTCTCGAAAATATGTATGCATGCCGCTTGGTTGCAACAGATGTAGTCAGTAACAGAGGGTTAACTGTTGACCAGCACCCATAGCCAGAGTCAGAGCCAGAAAGTAGGGGGCCTGGATCAGGTGCAGGTGCAGCGCCCAGCTAGAGTTGGGCTGAGCCTTGTCTCATTTTATTTTGCGGTCTCTGGCCATAATTTCGCACGGCAACCGTTCTCCTAGCACACTTTTTTCTACGCGGGGAGGCAGGCAGCAGCAGCATACGCGTAATTGGTGTTTGTGGTTAGTTTTTGGGGGCAGCATCCAGCATAAGCAGCGCCGTGGAGTGTGAACTGGCCTCCCGGTGGGGATTGGGTGCAAGATGGCACTTTAATATTAGTTTAGACTGACAGCAAACCCGTCATAAACGTCGCAGATTTGCAGAGCGGGAAATTAATGCCGCGCATAGGGAATGTCTTGAGTGACCCTAAGCCAGCTGAGAAGTACTGGAAACTTTGCCCAATGTTTTAATGGTTGAAAAAGTGAAGTGAGGGAAGCGCGAAAACGGAGCAGCTAAAAGCGCATTGTTGCTGTTGCTTCTCTGGCTGCAAAAGTTTTGCGCAAATGTTGACATAAAAATATTAAAAGTTGGTTTTTGGGGTATGCATTTCAGTTTGTTATTTGTTTTTAATAAGCGTGGAATGATTGTCGATGCAGAGCAGCGTTTTCTTATGGATATTCATTCGTATTTAATATTTTTAGAGTATTAATAGTAACATTTCCCATACTTAAATTCATATATACTTAAAAAATCATAGCATAAACCATAAACCACAGCTATAGCCACAGCTTAAGCGAAAATCTAAATTCAAATACCTCCAACCGTCATCTTTCTAGCAGTTTTCTGTATAGGAATGCGCATGTCCAACCGAATCTTTGACACATGGAACATTTTTTGACAGCAATCAGATGTTTCGGAATGTTGGCGCCCAGACCAGACTCACTCGCAGACACAGGGACTCACACACGCGCACACACACAGAGTTGTTTTTGTTAACCTTGCCCAACGACGAATGACGAAAACAAAACAAAAACGTGAAGAAGTCAACGGGTGGTGGCAACGGGGAGAACACGTGCATGGAAAAAAGAGCCTGGGACAACACGGAGAGCGAACAACACCGAAGAGAGAGAGAGAGTGAGAGAGCAGCAAGTGGAGCAGGCGCATGCAATCAGCTGAATGGAAAGTGCCAAAAGAGAGAGACACAGAGAGCGCAAGAAACCAGAGAGAGAGTGCGAAAAAGCACGAGAAAAAGCTTCATTTGTGGCCTCTGCCTTCTTTCGGGGGCGTCCAGGATTCCGATTGCGAGTCTGTGGCCATGTCACACCGTTCGAACGTCAGTAGTTGGAACAAGGACGCGAACCGTGCACGAGACCCAGCGCGCAAGCCACACGGAAATCGCCTCGCGTCCACGCTGTGCTCAGTCAAAGCCAAGCAGAGCAGAGCAGAGCCCCACGCAATGAATAAAAAAGGAAGAAAGGAAAATATGAAAATGCTTACTATATAAGCAGGAAATCTCATCATCGGCATAATAACGCGATTCCAGCTGTCAATTTTCCACCGCAATATGAGAGAGATCCCCACGGTGCTGTAGTGTGTGTGCGTGTACGTGAGCGTGTGTGTGTTTTGTGATTTCCCCAAAAGAAAATCGAGAAGGTGGCCGTTACGTGTACGCAAGCGAGTTCGTTGTTCGTGTGTTGTTTTTATTGATTGCGCGACTTTAAACAAAGTTCACAGTCAAAAATTTAGTTGAAAATGTGTCCAGAACAGTGTTAGAGAGAGAGAAAGAGAGAGAGTGAGCAGTGCCGAGGCAGTGGCCGAGGACCAGTGCAGTGCAATGCAGTGTGCTGCTGGCAGTCAAGGTCGCCGCCGCTTTTGACCAGAAACATGTCACAGACAAAAATATAGCGCCAGAATAACAAAACACAGCCAGAAATAATCTTCGAAGCAAAAGCAACACAAACCACCACAAAGGAAGCATTTAAAGCATTTTGCCAGCACCTTGAAGCATCTTCTTCTTCGGAAAAGCCTCTGAAAGTCACACACAAAACTTAAAGTAAGCGAAACCAAAAAAGAAAATCGAATTTTCCCTACGTGTGACGTGTGTGCCGAATGGGTGGCCGCAGGGAGGTGCTTTGCTGAGCAAGAGAAAGGCATCTATTCTCGTTTCCTGCGCTCTAGCTCAGTGTCAGTGTGTCTTCGTGTGTGTTTGTGTGTGTTTGTGCCATAAGTTTATCTTTTACTCACACACAGAGGGATATGTATGTACATAATACAGATAGAGGGGAAAGAGATGGCAATCCTTAAGCCGGCTACAAAGACAAGTCTGCCAGCCAATAAAGAAAGGCTGCCAGCAGCCCGCCACAACTTTTGTGGCCCTTTTGTAGGACAACGAACTGCTGGGAGCATCAACTGTTGGATTATTTTTGTATTGGCTATATTTGTGTGCTGGGCGGGGGGAAGTGGAGGCCAGGCCTGACACAGTTTTTGGCCTTTGTACTTTTTTTGCAGGTAGGCGGCCTCCTGTATGGCGCAACTACCAGTCTAAAAATATCTTTGTGGCAGCTCGGTACTGAGATTTCCAAAGCCAAAGTGCTTAACTAATGAAAATCGACTAAATGGCTTCTCCAGTGCACTTTCTAGATAACGAAATTCCTTTATTTTTTTTGGGAGTCTTGGCATTTTTCGGCAAAATTACTGGAAAAATCATCCAAAATCCGCTTAAAAATTAAGGTCATAATCCCATTCTCCCTTGAAAGCAACTGCCTATCTAAGAAATACTTCAAAATCATTTATGCGACATGATTTTGCTGAAATTCGTGAACTTTTGCTGCCATCAAAGCTTTTAAAGGAATCTCCTTTTAGCTCGACTCGAGTTAATTTCGCTTTAAACATTGTTGATGGTGCTCCATAATGTTTTATCTTCATTCGCCCCGCCCGAACTTTGTCATTGTGCCGCCCGAAGGAAGGGGCAAAGGAAACCATCAAGCAAACTCCGCCCACATGGCATATGAGTTATGCATTATATGCTTTTGCTTTTGCTTTTGCTTTTGCTGGGATACTGGAATGGGACTCCTTTTCTCTTATCCAAATATATTTCCATCATCTTCTGGATTTGTGTATTTCCCAACGCATTATGGCAAATATTTGGCCATTGGACAACATATTCCTGTGTTTGTTGTCTTGTCTGTCTCTTCCCCGTGTTTTTGCCATTTTTGTTGTACGTAAGCTTGTACACTCGGTTCGGTTGCTTGTTTGTTACTTTGGCTTGTGGGCTCTCTGGAAAACGAGGTCAGAGCAGCAAATCCAAGCCGTAAGCTCTTCCCAAAACAGCTGGTGTCAGCATAAAATGTGTGCAAGTAACGTGCTCGTGTGCGTGTGTTTTTTTTTTGTTATTTCTGCAGACATACAAGTGACCAAATTATGTGGGCTGTGCGGACTGTGTGGTGTGTGGACTGTGGTTGTAGGTGGCACCAGCTTCTCGACCATGGCCGAGAGCAGTGTCAAAGACTTTTTGCGGGCTTTGATTTATCAGCAATGCACCCGGGAAGCACAAACACACGCACACACACACACGTACACACGGCATAAATTAAGTGTTTATTTTGGGCTTTAGTAGAACCAGTCAGCTCTTCAGTTATCGTTACATTTTATGTAACTACGAGCTGTAAGCTCATAAATATATTTTACCCACTTCTAGGTGTTGCAGGAATAGAATGAAAAACTGTTTCGAGGGAAAGTGTTGTGCGGCCTACAATCTTGTAATTTTGGTCCGGGCTTTTATTTCATCTTTCATCACCCCTTCATAACCACTCTCTTCTTCGAATGGCAGTCCGCATATAACCCTTACCCTACCAATTCTTCTCCCCGAAAAATACACTATAAATATGACTAATAAACATTTTTGTTACCGCTCGGTGGCACACACAAGATTCATATTATTTTTATAAGCTTCTTCTATATTTAAAGCTAATGCCATATGCACATTTCAATCTCGGGGCAGCCAAAGAGGGTGCAAAAACAAACCACTCAGAGGAAAAGGAGAAAGGGCAAGAGGGGAAATAAATAATAAAAAAGGAAACTCTCGCTGATTTATGTGCTAGTTTTGCCAGCGATTTTTCTACCCCTGCCTGGATTCGTTTATTTTCTTTCCTTTTTTCTTGCACTTTTCCCGTTTTTTCCCCGTGTGCCGTCGCCCTCTAACTAGTTTTTGAGAGTTGTGCAGCAGCATTTTACTCCAATTAAATTTTCATGCCATATGAGCATTTTGTACAGCAATAGCAGCAGCAGCAGCAGCAGCAGCAGCAGCAGCAGCAGCAGCAGCAGCGGCAATATCAACAGCGGAAAAGGAAAAAGAACGAGAGTGGCACACAACGCGACGCTATTTTCAATTTCCGCTGCACAGAAGTCGAGAAAGGAATGCGATTTTTAACACAATTTCACTTTGCAGAGTCGAACAACAACAACAAAGTACATGTGTGTGTTTGTGTATTAGTACTTGGCATAGAAATGTTTACGACTAAAAACAAGAGACTCACACCCAGACCCCACCCCAACCCAATACGACCCGACACATCGACCCAGAAAACCCTTCGCCTGCCTATCCGACTGACAGTTCAAGTCAAAATGGCCTTTTATTGAGATTTAAGCTGTTTTTGGGTCATTTCCGAATTGTGTTTGTGCAACAGAGAGTGTGAGAGAGAGAAAGAGAGACACAGAGAATGATTTTAAATATTAAAAAACCTTGTAAAGAGAAACTACTATAAAACGAGCTACCAGCGAGCAGCATATAAAAATCAATATCAAGCAGCGGCCAGAGTTGAAGGCTAAATGGGGCTCGGCCCTGCACGTTGTCCCTGCGCTGGCAAAATAAAAATAAAAACCTACACAAAAAGGCATTTAGGCAGCGACCAAAATGGGCATTCTGCATGCATAGATACATAGAAACATGGTAACACAGAGACAGACAGAAAGCAAAGGATGTGTGTGTGTCGGCACATGATGAAAAAGGATGCGAGCATCCACACTCGTCCCTGGAACATCACACACAAGTAGCCAGAGTAAAAACCCAGAAAAAACATAGAAAACTTTTTAAAAAGCTTGTTTTATTGGTATTTAGCTTCTACTTGTTTGAGAACACAATATACAACATGATATTGTAATGTAAATTGTTGAGCCAACACACATCACAGCTTTTTTTTCCACTGCCAGTTTTTGTTTGTTAACTAGAGTTGCAAATGGTTTTCAAGTGGAGGAGATTCAGGCTCAAACAGTTTCTACTCTGACTTGCTGAGCGAAGAAAAACAAATTTGGAAAGTTTTCAAGCGGAAATGAACTGAAAATCTATTTAAATATTATATTATTGGGTTATCATATGAGTTTCATAAAGATTATTGTAGAAAACGACACAACGGAAATAAGTTTTCAATTGTATAAACATATAATATAATTTCTCTCTCAATTCTTCCCATAAAGAGAGTCCGAGTTCGAGTACATTTTATAACCTCAATCAGAGTTATGTATGTTTCCCACATACCATTATCCAAATGAATGATGAACCCTCAGTGGGGGCACATTCCCTTGGCCAACAAACGAGTATCAAATATATATTACCCTAATGTGACCGACATTTTATTCGGGGGCTTCCGTGATACTTTCACTTTGACTTTTGCCCCTCAGCCTATTTAATGGCTCTTGTTTTTCCACACCCCATTCCCTTCATTTCGGTTTGGGGGCTTGCTCTTGGCCGCACTCGCGTGTACGAGTTTAATATATCGTGGCTGTATAATACCCACATGAGTGCGAGAATATGTGCTGCTGTTTGCTCTTTGCCTTGCATGCTTTGAGTCCTGGCTGAAAACAAATTACATATGAGTTAGCCCTCGCCGCCGCTAGCTCTCCTTTGGCCCCGTCCTTTGGCAGTTAGCGCAGCTTCAAGGCCGCAACAGCGGTCAGGCCGTAGTCGGTCAAAGTTGGTTTTTGTTTGGGTTTAGCTTTGGACTTGGACGTTTTGCAATTACATTGTAAAACATTTCTTTATGGTGGGGTAGAACCAGAACAACGTCCGCCCGCTCTAATGAAAAATGTTCCGAGGCAACGCCGCTTGCTTTTCATGTTTTCATAAATAATTAAATTTCTCGTTTTGTTGGCTCTTTGTGAAAAAATGGGCACAGGGTCGCCACTAATTAGGAGCGTATTTCACTTGGACTTCTCTCTCTTTGCCTCTGGAAAAGTGAAAAAGGGGAGGAATAGGGAACGTAAAGCTGATTAGTGCAAAAGAATTACAGGATAAAGGCAACCTAATATGATCCATTCGGGTACGATACCTGTATGGAAGGGCAGAAGATACCCAAAATGCATGATCAAAAGTATGTGAATCCATTTACAATGCCCCAATGTACCACCACAATTATGTGCCTACAGCAAAAACAATCTGTCAATCTGTATTGTAGTGTATATGTATCTAAACTTTTCCCTGATTAAATCGATGACAACTTGTTCCTACAAGTTTCATTTTTCTCTCGGCCATTCGTTTCTTTTCTCTTTCCTTTCCTTATATTGTTGTGTGGCTCCCGTCTAAATCGAAATTGAACTGTGCCACTGTCAGGCCCAAGAGTGCTGTTGTTTGCTATGTTATACTCGTACAGCCACGCCCCCTGTTATGGCCACATGCTCGAACTATGCCGCCTCCCCCTTGCTTATGGGTACGTGTCCGTTGCGCTCTGTTTGCGTGATCCAGAGAAATGCAAGTCCCTGCCGGACTGTGCCGCCCCTCTACACAACGTCAGCTCGACTCGACTCGACTCGCATGCCATTTCATTTTGCAGCTTTTCTATTCTACTTTAGTCTCAGACGAAGTCGGAGTCGCATTCCCATTCCGATGGCGATTCTTATTCCGCTTCCCATTCCGAATCCCATTCTCTGTGGCTATGTTGTTGTCAAAGTTTATAAGTTTCGCAGCATTTCTGAGAAAACGGCTTCGGTTTTGGCCGTCGTCCCACGTGCCCGGCATCAATTTGATCTCAGCTTTGGCGCCAGTCTTTAATATGTTTTCAA